TGCATGAGTCGGGGAAGGCCGGCCTGGACCGTATGCCAGCAATTGAACCAGCTGTTGCTTCACTGATTGTGTCAACAGATGAAGCCCTGCGTCCTGATGTCCGGTGCCCGCGGACTCAATGTCGGGTTACAGATGACCTCCTCTGTAAGGCGTACAATGCAGGAGCGCGTGCTGGCCGCCTTGGCAATTCTCTGGCGCACCTCATGTTTGCCCTGTCTGCATCTGTTCAGGACACTGGTGGTGCAAGTGCGGCGGTTGGTTATAGTGACGCAGCGCTGCAGGCCTTCGCGCTGATGACCAGAGAGCTTGGACGGGTCATGTCTTTCCTTGTCCAAGCTCGTAGACAGGTCTGGTTGGCACAGTCTCCTCTGACTGAAGCATGCCGTAGGACCCTCAGGGGTGTCCCGGTTGTACCAGGGGAGCTGTTTGGATCAGCTGCCTTGGAGGCGCTGGAACGGACTGCTCAAGCACGTCAGACTAGCCAGCAGCTTTCTGGCCTTCGCAGGAGCATACCTGCCTTTCCCCAGCGTTCGGGCCGCCCTGCCACTACCCCCAGCGTTCAGCCACGACCTCAGACTGGTGGCAGACCTGTTGGTTCCTATCCCCATGATGTGCGGCAGAGACCGAGGAGGGCCTTTCGTGAGCCAGTCTGCCGCCCTGTTAGACAGACCCGGGCCTCAAATCCTGGACGCCCTCCCCCCAGAGCCCCCAGGGGCCGTGGGGATAGAAGATGATGCCACCGGGCCAGCCGTCGGACATTTTTCCCATCAGCAGCTGAATTTCTGGGCTGCTCATGCCGTAGATCCATGGGTGGTTGCCACCTTAACCAATGGCTACAGGCTCCAGTTCCGACGGCGGCCCCCCCTCTCACACCGGGTCAAGATGACTGTCATCACAAACCCGGTGAAATCTCAGGCACTAGACCAGGAGCTTTCCGCCCTCCTGGGCAAGGGGGCAATCGAGTCTGTAGATCCTCTGCGGCAACCCAGAGGCTACTACTCCACATACTTCCTTGTGGCCAAGAAGACCGGCGGTTTTCGCCCCATTTTAGATCTAAGGGGACTGAATCGGTACCTGAAGGTCCTTCCCTTCCACATGCTCACCATAACAGAGGTCCTTCAGACCATTGTGGCGGGAGATTGGTTTACATCAGTAGATCTGACAGACGCCTACTTTCACGTGCCTATTGCGGCAGAACATCGCCGTTTTCTCAGGTTCGCCTATCGGGGGCGCCATTGGCAATTCCGGGTGCCCCCATTCGGGCTCTCCCTTTCCCCGAGGGTGTTTACTCGATGCGTGAAAGCAGCCCTCTCTCCTCTACAGGCCTCCGGAGTCAGGATTCTGCCATACCTGGACGATTGGCTTCTTTGTGCTCCCTCTCAGGTAGCTGCCTCTCGGGATACATCCCAGCTTCTACTTCATGTGTCACTGTTAGGCCTCAAAGTCAACTTGGCAAAGAGTTGTCTTGTTCCATCTCAGACAACCACCTTTCTTGGGATGCATCTGGACTCTGCTACCATGATGGCCCGTCCATCTGTTCACAGGGTGGACGACATACTCCAGCTTGTCCGTCGATTCAGACTGGGCAGGGAGTTTCCCTACATCATCTTCCTGCGAATGCTGGGCAAACTGACATCAGTCACTCGTGTCATGCCCTTAGGGCTGCTTCTTCTGCGTCCTTTGCAGCGATGGCTCAACAGCTTTCGCCTAGACGCCAGGCTGCCCAGGCATCGCAGGCTAATGGTGACCAGGAGCTGCCTCCATGCCCTAGCTCCTTGGCGAGACGGGACCCTTTTGTCCAGTGGTGTTCCAATGGGGCTAGTAGTGTGTCGAAGGGAGGTGGTCACCACGGATGCCAGCCTCATGGGCTGGGGTGCCGTGTGGCAACACATAGCTGTTCGGGGTCTCCGGGACCCAAGGGAGCGCACCGAACACATAAATGTGCTGGAGCTGCGGGCTGTGCACATGGCCCTCAGGTGCCTTCTGCCCCACCTAGAGGGAAGGCACGTGCTGATTCGGACAGACAACATCTCTGTTGTTTATCATATAAACCACCAAGGTGGCACCAGGTCAGCACGTCTCTTGAAGGTGTCGAGGGATCTCCTGGAATGGGCGTTTCTCCGTCTGTGTACCCTGCGCGCAGCGTATCTGCCAGGACGGCAGAACCAGGTTGCGGACTCTCTATCCCGCCAGGCACCTGCTCCGGGAGAGTGGTCTCTTCACCGCGACGTAGTGCGCATAATCTGGAACCTCTTTGGGCAGGCAGAGGTAGATCTGTTCGCCACAGAGGAGTCGACCCATTGCCCCCTATGGTATTCCCTAACCGGGATGGCGGGCGCACTGGGCCAGGATGCACTGGCTCATCCATGGCCGCAGGTTCTCCTGTATGCCTTTCCACCCCTCTCACTGATTTGGCCGACTCTACGGAGGGTTCTCGAGCAGGGCCACAGAGTGTTGCTGGTAGCTCCGTTCTGGCCAGCGCGGCCGTGGTTCCCGCTGCTTTGGAGTCTGTGTCACGGTACTCCATGGCGTCTCCCAGCAAGGAGGGATCTGCTGTCTCAGTTGGGGGGACAGATATGGCACCCCAACCCTCAACGTCTCTAGCTGTGGGCATGGCCCCTGGGAGGCTGACTGGGTGTTCAGACACCGTGAGACACACCGTATTGAGTGCTAGGGCTTCCTCCACTCGGCTGCAGTATGCTAACAGATGGCGCCTTTTTTCTCAGTGGTGCTCTGCCCACAATGAGAACCCAGTTTCCTGCTCGGTGCCCACTATTTTGGAGTTCCTCCAGTCTCTCCTTGATAAGGCATAAAACATTTTTAAAATATGTGTATTAGCATTCTTTAGTTAGTTAAGGATAGAAATAAGTCATTTTAGTACCATGATTACATTATTGATGAAAAACGGGATCTATATCTTGTTGCGAATGCGCAAATGAGCTGATGGTACGGATCGTGCTTCCTGTACTGATTGGCTAGTGACAGTGGACTCGAAATTTCCCACAATGCCCCTTGAAAAGTAGTGATCATTCATTGCCACTAGACAAGCAGATATATCGCAGGTAGGATTGTCAGAAGTATCGATACTCAAAAAAGTATCGATACTGAAATGTTGTATCCGGATACAATACTCATTTTCAAAAGTATCGATACAGTGCCACCAGTGGCACCTAAACAGTCATTTATCTAAAGTGCAGAATAGAGGAAAATGCACTTTCTGAACAATGTGTGATTGAATAATTTTGTGCACTTTTCAGTTTCACACTTTTTTTTTTTAACAGGTGCAGCTGCTGAGAATTATTTTTGTTTCTTAACCGGTTTGGCTAGTGTCATTGTTATGTGTGCAAAGCATAGCCAAGTAAGGAAAACTTCATTTTAATTTTGTAAGTTTTTTCTTTATCAAGCTTGCTTAATACTGTGCACAGCAAACAACCTCAAAATGTTGTTCTTATTGTTTATTGTATTTATCTATTGTATTTTTATTACTAATGAAAATTTCTGTTGAATTTTGGAGTCTTTGTTTTTATCCTTGTGGTATCAAAAATGGTATCGAGTATCGAATATTTTCCTTAGTATCGGTGTCGAGTTGAAAAGTTTAGTATCGTGACAACCCTAATCGCAGGAGAGAAAAGCTCCTCGCAAAGCATCATGGGATTTGTTGTCACAGCAGAAATAACAAAGATGGCACCTTGCGGGGAGGTGCGGACGGAGTTACGTAACAAACATGGTGCGAAAAGTAGTGATCATCTGTCTGAATGGTAAGTTAACCGAGTTCACTATAAATTCCACTATATAGTCCCTGATCTATATATATATATATATGTAGTGATTGAGGGATTTAGGCGTTAGGGTCGGACGTTCTGACACAGCCGAAGTTTAAGTTCAGGAAGTAGTGGATTTGTGCTTAGAGCCAATTAGAAAAAAAGTTATCCTTCCAATGAAGTTTAGCTTGCAGCTGATGGTTTTGGTTTAATAAAACTCCAGTTCAGGATCAGTTCAAGAAAGCATCAACATTTATTTTGGACCACTACAAACTTGAGGCATGGGCAAATCACCAGGGGTCTTTGGTTCACTAAAACTAACGCTAAAAACAACAAGATGGTTTAATATAAAAAAAACTACTTACAACATGTTAAAAAAAACTATTGGTACATCAAATTATATAATATATATTTCTGAAAAAAGTATTTCTAAAAACAGGTTTTGAAATAACCTAGGAAACTAATTTCTTTTATGGTTTTGGTGTCTTTGGAGAACATAAAAGATATAACATATTTTCTCTTGAGCAGAGAGCGTGACAGCGAGGTCACACAAGTTACAGATCTGAGTTCTCACAGTTGCAGGCCTGCTTCTAATTATTGTCGTATCTCAGTGTAAGTGAGAGCTGCTGACTCATACGCTGCGTGTGACTCAAACTCCTGTAACAAGACAGAGCTTTTTGAGTAAATCTGAAGCACATTGCTGCCTCCCACTATATCACTGTCATCCCACGTTCTGATAGAGCAAACAACGACGTGCAATTGCTATCTGATGACAATAAGGAAACACTTTATCCATGCCAGGACCTGGAGTCCTGCTTTCGCTCCACCTTAGACACAGAAATATATCTATTCTAGAATGAAAACAAAGTAACAGCCACTTGCTTCACTGCACGTCTCCCTGACTTGCTCCTGAACTCCATGTTTCCCCCTCTGTGACTTTTATCCAAACTCTCTCATGAGAACTGCTGCTAAGCACCCTAAGCCTGGCACGGCACGCACCAACACAAACAACACAAACTCTCCGACTGGCAGAGAAAGTGCAACCAAAACAACCGTCATTTTAAGGCTGAGCAAACATTGAGAGCAGCTTCCAAATACAAATAAAAGGTAAAGAACTTGAAAAAGCACCACGCTGTTCCCATAAGCCACGCCGCTCACAACTTGGTGAGAAAAAGCCGATTTAAGGCGGCAGAAAATGCACCATTTAAAGATTTAAACGAGGGGAATGGCTTCAATGAAAATACCTCACAGGTCAGACTGAACGGCAACCTGATTACCTGTCACACCCACATCAGCTCTGGACATTCAGAGGGAAGGTTTCATCACTTTCCCTTCTCTCCTGCCCTTGCTGTAAACAAATGCCACGGTTCCCCTCAGAGACCCACTGTTTCTACGCAAAGGCTGCTGCTGCTTCGGGAGCATCTCCACTATTCTCCCACCTGCCTCCCTCTCCATTCTCCCCTTGGGCCAAGGCTGCAGAAATATTACTGAGGCTAAATGGCTACACAGGAGATACAGTGTACCAGAGTAAAGGTGGGGCCTGCTATCCTCTCCTGCTTAGAAAAACATCCAAGCATTGCCGTTTGAACTTCACGGTCTGCATAAATGTTATTCAAACAGCAGTTTTTATCACCGCACAGCAGATCAACAAGTCGGATCAAAATAAAATATATACTTTAAATGTTTTTGCTGTCGTTTTTTAACATACTAGGATAAAGAACTGGTGCTAATAAACATTTGTAAGATAAATCTGCGATGGACATCTCTGTGCCACTATTTGAACTATATGAGGTAAGAGTTTTTACTGATCATTACGAGCCACTGCGACCTTGGCCACAGGTTAAAAAAAAAACAAAACTAAACAGCTAAACACTTACACCATGTCAGCTCAATGAAATCTCTCAAGTCCTCAAACCATAATCAATTTGTTTACAATCACATTTCTGCAACAGCTGCAAGAAAAAGTATAATAAAGGATGCATAAAAAAACCCTGCAAATCGCTGTAAACATATATATATTTTTTTTACCAATATTCTGAATTTTGGAGTTTGATTGTTGATGCGGGAATCTGAGCACCTTTTCACACTTATAAAGGCACTATTATTGCAATGAATTATATTTTAGAAACAGCTTCTGTGCAAGGCATAAATACAGAACATTTTTAATTCAACCTTATGAGTCTAAATAAAGCTATGAGATCAGTGAGGTTTGTTCTTACCTGTAGCTACAGCAGCACTGTTAGGCTGGCTGCTGCTGCTGCTGACATCCACATACAGCTCATCCTCGGCTTCCGTCGAAGAAGCAGAAGAAGAGTCACTACTGAGCTCTTCACTGGAACTGCTAGTGCTATGGAGCAGAGCGTATTTCCTACGTGCAATCACTTCCCGTTTCTTCCTCTGCAGCAGCAGCCTCTCCTTTTGCTTCTGAGTCCGTGGACCTCCCCCAGGACCCGTTTTCCCAAAGTGCTTCCGGTGCGGCGGCCGCCGTCCGCTTAGGCACGGCCGCTTCAGCAGCACCGGCTCGGGCTCAGGTCGGACCCATTTATGGGAGCGATTGCTCCGAGTTCGGCCTAGATTAGGGCGTAGACTAACTGCAGCACCTCCTCCGGTCGGTAGGGCAGGAGCCTTGTGTTGGCCCCCTGTCGCGCCGGGTTCCCCCGCCTCGTCATCGGAACTCAGGGTTTCCGAGTCTCCAAATCGGAGGCTGGATGACGGAGAGGAGGCACAGTCACTAAAAGAGGACTCGTTGTTGTGTTCATCCTCACTGGGATGCTGTAAAAGTTCCACTCTGGCCCGCTGAGGTGCCAGGGAGTTCTCACTGATGTGGTCCTCTTTCAACGAGCAGTCTGATGGACCAGCCTGTGTCCCCTTTCTTTTCCTCCGCCCCGGCAGGGTCCTCTCCGAGTCCCTGTGGGTCCCCGTGTCCCTCAGGGGCCGGTGCCTGGATTCACAAAGGGCTTCAAAATCACTGGCAGCCTTTCTGGCAAAATCACTGGCAACATCCATGTTGTTGGGGAAGTTCTTAGCTGCTTCCATGGACTCCTGGTTCACCAGTGGCTCCTTCAGATGCTCCTGTCTGCTAGAGGCCTCAGATGGGACCTCACTCTTCATGGTGGCAGCTCTTCCTCCAGGCACACTCACGTGTATGCTTACGCTTCTGACCGCAACATTTCACACAACCTAGAACAAAGACACAGAGGTACAAATAAATCAATCACGAAAACGTCAAGAAATCCTAAGTAAAGCTGCGTCTTACATCTCCATTAAAAGTTCTTTAGTTTTACGTCAGCTCTATATCCCCTTCTCCATAGGATCTAATGTCAGCCAATAAAGCAGGTGTTGGTTTTAGCTATGTGGGAACACTTCAAGTCATCTTGTCAATAATATCAGCATTTCCATTAAACCCACCAGCAAATGGAGGCAGGAAGGGGTTTAGATCTTTAGGGTGGACTTGAAAAAATGAGACCAGGAGAATCCTCACCGTCCCATTACCGTTTTTTTTTTCAAAATGAAATTCAAAACTTATCAAAGAAGTATTTTTTTAAGCAACGCGTTGCTATTTACCCCAGAGAACTCAAACGTGCCTGACTTAATTCAAAAAATGGGACCATGCTCTCAAAATCTGACCGAAACTCATTAAAATATGGCCAACTATCCTTTTCTTCAACCTTTATATTCCTTCCTCTCAGGTTTCTATTAATAAGCTGCCAACTTCCACAATAAGTAGCTTGAGTAGCTTTACTTGGAAATAACGAATATGTACTTAAATGTATATATGATTGAAGAAACAAAATAATGTTAAAGGAAAAACGGACATCAGTTTAATTTGTAATGAGATGGTTTATGAACCAATCAGACCCTACAGCCAACCTGTGACCATCGTATTCTTCACTGTCAAATATGAAAACAATATGTTCCCTTATAAAGTCATTCTGCTTGAGTGTCTAAATTAAAGCAGTAAGACTAAATGCTGCTGATTAAAGAGAACAAATAAACAACACACGCATGGATGAGCCAGTGCTAATCCGTCTGCTTCGCTGTCGATTTTAGGCAACCTGGGAATCACGGGGAAACGGTCATCCTCGAAATCTTTCCCTGGAAATTACATGAAGGACTGCACTGACTAAACAGATGTCCCGAAGCAAACCTTTGTTTCACTGGCTAATGAATGAATAAAAGTAATCACTCCTGTTAGTCAAATATACATCCTGTGTGCCAAGGAGGGGGTGTCTGATTATTCATTTGGGTGCTCCATAATATGTTGGCATCAGATTACACTTTAGCAGGTGGTATAACTGCTGTTTAATGTGCCAGATAGAAAACCTGTGCACGCTTTTGGCTCGTGCACATTCAATCATTCACTATTCTATCTAAGTTAAAGTACTGGTTTTCAGATTTTGTATGACAGAGAAAGCTCTACTTCCATGTGCATGTTCCAGAAAGCATACATCTGGCTGCATCTCTGACAGAAAAAAAAAAGTGGTGCCAACTCTGGCAGCCAGGATGATCCAGCGCTTTATCTTTTTTCTTTCTAAGTGGCAAAAAGAAAATAAAAAGGCACATCTGCCATCACTTGATAAGAAATTGATGTTTTGTTTTTCTTTTACAAAGAAGTCTAATAACGGTGCAAGACCTCTACCTGACCTGGGTACAGGTAGACCGATGCATCAGCCTGTAGATATTTTGGGCCTTTTTTGTTTGTTTTTTGTTGTCTTGCATCAGTATCAGCTGAAACATGCATGTGTTCACCAATTTATTAGTGTTGTTAGCTGCCGTGCTAAGAGATGAAGTGAAACCACAGGCATAGCCACTCCTATCATTTAATATATATATATCAATGCTTTTTTTTGATTTGTTAAAAAATCTTTTTTTTTTTTTTTTTTTAACTTCTATTGTGTAAAATGAGAAATAAAAATCAATATCAGCCTCAAGAAGTCATCGGTTTGACTGATGTCAACATAATCCATATCGGCCCTATAAAACCAGTATAACTCAATTTCTAGTCAATAGGATAATAATAATAATAATAATAATAATAATAATAATAATAATACATTTTATTTAACAGCGCCTTTCTTGGATGTTATATGACTATTTGTATAGAGCACTTTTGTCACGTTGGTGAACATTTAAAAATATCAACACTCTTAATCTATGGTTACATATGCAGCTGATTTGCCTTTTAATGTCTACAACTAACAGGGTCTGTATAAACTTCTACTGATCAAATTAAAGAGGCTGTTCTAACTCATTCTGCATCTTAGCAAAGGCCTCTTAGCTTTCAGATAAAATAACATGTTAAACCATAAAAGGCCAATTCATACATCTCTCTCTACATCCGTTATCTGCTAAGGGTGCTCCATGTGCTTAGTGGATGTGCTGTGGTTTTCAGCAAAGAGCTGCACAGCGTTGTTTAGGACGCGGTGCCTCTAAACTTGTGGTGGTGCTTTAAGCCTGCGGTGACAGCAACAAACAGACCACACTGCTTCACACCATGTAACAATACTAAGACGACCCTGCTGCTATGTGGAAAACTGATTTAGGTGCATCTTGTACCAATGACCATGTAGGTACACCTGCAAGTCCAAGTGATGTAACACATAAGGAAATAAAAACCAAGGCCAACTGCACTCTGTGGGTCAGATTGAGGCAATTTCATTTGGCAAAAGAAGAATTTCAAAGTCCTTATGTTGCATAATGTTAGGCATGAACTGCAGTATAAATAATCACAAACCTTTTCCAGTCACAATGATAGATTTCAGGATTTTTAATCAGTCACGTTTGCTGCAAGGTGTTATTTATTTATTTTTCTTTAAGAAGTTAATTTTTAAGCATTTTTGGATGCATTTTGCAGTGTGCATGTCATATTTGTTGTCATTGGGATTGGATAATTCACTGATTTCCTCTTTTGTAGCTTATTTCCTCATCAGCATGCTGGGTGTCACTTGACCTGAAGATGTGACTCCTCAAACAGGGATGCTGGATTGGTGTTGAGGAGGACTAATTACCAGAAATGCTATATCATGTGGAACAAAAAAAAAAAACACACATTCTACTTGGTTTATTTCTTTAGTGTAACTGAGGGGGTCTTTAGATGCAACACAAAAAGCTGCGCAATGACAGGGCCCCTAAGAGGAAAGAGGATCCAAGCAGAGTGAGAGCTCAGATTTCTAATAATCAGTTCACCATATAACCAAGACTTGTCTGTTTCCATCAAATCAAAAAGTGGGGATTGCTTGTTATTGAAAAAAAAAAACGAGTGTTATTACCAATAATTACTCATTAGTCTGCTGGGATCTGCTTCTATATGCTGCTCTCTGGTGTAGCAGCTACAGATCAGGCCAGCAGAAACATGGTTCGGTTAAATAAATTGGGTTGACAGCACCGAGTTACAAACTGAGGCTAGTTTCTGCAATGGTTTGCAGTTGAAACAAAAAGCCCATCTGCTGCCCGCCTGGCTGTGTCCCACAAAGGCTGCTAAAGTGGCAGAAGCCAAAGCAGACTTAAAATACATTTTATTAAAACAAATACGTGTTAGAAAACTGTGCGATAAATGGAAGGAAGAAAAAAAAATCAAAGTAGACAGCTAGCAATGTAGCTAAAGAGAAGACAACAAAGACAACACGTACCTGGGTCTAAGTCCTTATTTTAAAATATGTCACTGTCCTTTTTGAGACATAAGAGCTGAAATCCTGAGGAAAAATAAGAGCCGGGTGTGTAAAATGAACAGTTATCTGGATGATCACCCGAGCTACAACCGGGCAGGCCTACGATGAGCTCGCGACCGGAGGTAGGTTGTAGCTCGGATTGTGAAACTGACACAGTCCCGAGCTGAGCCGCGAGACCAAACCGAAGGCAGCGGGCCCTCCGTAGCTAAGCTAAAGCTAGCTCCACTTTACTTCTAAAATACGCGATTATTTTCCGCCATGTTGAGTCGCTTTTCCATCCCGTCAACCGTCGGAAGGTTGAAGAACTAGAGAGCCTGTTCCCGTTTAACAGGACGGAAAAGGTTCACTGTTTGCCCAGTATGAAGTTCCCATTCCTGCCTTCCGAGGCATCCACTGTTGTTTACCCAGCAGCTCGTTTGTTGGCTGATATAGCTACAACACGGTGGTTCTCCTTAAGGCCACACGGGGGCGCCACACTCGCATCGCCCGGCAGCCACTTTACGGCTCCACACTTGAAACTCATTTTCAAGCAGACCTTTTGGGATATTTTCGGAGGAAAAACGCACCAAAACTTGACAATGTATATTATTAAAGCCTTTATTGCTGATTAAAAAGAAGTTCCTGAATATTAAGCAAGTCTGTGTTTGTAGTGCCGTCTTTCTTTATTCCAAATACTTGTGCGCCTCCTAGTGGACAAAAATAAAACTCAAAACAAGGATTTTAATCTTATCATACAGTAAAGTTTTTTTTCTCCTCAAAATATGCTGAAATGAGCTATTCAGACTTAAGAAGGGCCAGCAAAACAACCCAAAAATGAATTTGTTACAACTCAATGGGAGTATTACAAGAATATGGATATTGGGGAAAGACCAACAACACATCAACATTTTTTTTATGTTTTTTTAAAAGGCAAAAGGATAAAAATGCACTGTAGCTGATGCCTGTATATAAGCTAAATGCAATGAGAGACAACCGGTTTTGTAAGGATTCACAATGGCAAAAGACAGTGAAATTCTTCTCCCTTAAAATTGTAATTTATCAGCAAACAAACAAATCCCTAACACGGTTAAACACAAAGCCATATTAAAAAGATGTATTTAAGGGAGAATAGATAGGACATATTTTGAGCTTTGTAAGTCAATTAAATTGAGCCTATTAAAATGAACACATTCATGTTTCGTTAAAAAATACGACAGTGTTACAAAATGTAAAAATCTATGCACACAAGAGGTGGCTTCACAGTAAATTTTGCATGCAAATGTAACGGTCAAAATACTCTGATCTGGTAAAGTCTGGTGTTTATGCCAGAGGCATGCTCCTTATAACAGTCCTTTGTGGATTCTGGATGCTACAGCTTGTAAAAGTTGCACTCACTGCTGCTGATAGTGGCCTTCATGGTGTAAGTGACAATGTCCAGGAGTAATATCAGTCCTCCTGTCTGCCGCCATTGGCACTGGGTCAAGGGGACAGAGCTGTTTATCCTGATCAGCTTACCTTGTTGTTTTCCCTCAGCTGTTGATAAGCTGTTTCTTCAACAAATCACAACAGAGAATTTGACTAATGCTTAAACTGAATCAGAAAGTCAAAAAAATAGCAAGAGATGTTTTTCAGTTGGATGTATTTTAATGTGTATAAACATTTGGAGTACAATATAAATATTTATTTAAAGTCATCTTTTCAAAGTCCATTTTTTTTCTGTTTCTGTTTCTATATACATTTACAGTTTTTATTTCATAAAAAGAGATTGGTATGATCTTCAAACTAAAAAACAAACTAATGAGCAATAGGAGGGGAAAAAAAGTTACAGGTAAAATTAATTAGGAGAAAACACATCAGTTGCAAACTACCTCATACCAAAGAAATGAATACAGTATAATAAGTACTGCTCAGCCAAGTGCGAGCAATGCAAATGGGAAGTTGATGCATATGTCCATTTGATGTGGTCATCTTAGAGGACAGCATAAGATTAGAGTGAAGTTTGTGGAATCATGTCCAGAATTGTAAAACCTGCTCTCCTCCATATTGTATTTTACAGTTAGCTAACGGGGACTCAAATTTGAAATATCATACAAAATGATCATCCTCCTTGCTATACGGTGAAAGGTTAACAACTCTATTACACTGGTTAGATAAAACTAAACCATCAGTCACTGACCAGCTCAATATTATTCAGTTATTACTAGAAAGACTAACTTATGCTCTACAAGGAAATAACACAATATTAACACATCATTCACTATCTGGAAACCTTCACTTGAATAGGTAGGAGCATAAGCATCTTGAACCATTATGACCTAAACTGTACATAGGGATAGGGTGTTGTTCCTGAAGTGTGTGTGTGTGTGTGTTTGAACGGGTATAAGTGTGAATGAGGGTGCATAGGAAAAGGAAATGTTAGAGACTAAATTAATTAGGCTCATGGGTGGCAGGTGGGTGGTTGACCAGTTAAGTATTGATTACATTATATTTATTTTTATTATTACATTTATCATTTACATTTATTTATAACATGCTGCTCTAATTTTTGCACATCTCTGGTGCTGCTTCTGTTTTTATCTGTTACTGTAAAAATGTCCACAGCTGTATATTGATTATGTATTCTCCAGATGCAGTGTTTATATTGTAAAAACACTGTAAAGTACAGTATTTTATTTGTTTATTATTTTAACTCTTTCACGTATTCTGTTATTTTTATACACTTTTTAAGGTCCACATTTGTGTCACCATATTTGCTGTAACCTTTTGACGCCACAACGCCACAATTTCCCCATGGAGGGACAATAAAGGAATTTTTTTTTCTATTCTATTCTATTTTCATGCTTTCAGAATCATAATCAGAAATACTTTAATAATCCCATATATATATATATATATATATATATATATATATATATATATATATATATATATATATATATATATATATATATATATATATATATATATGTATATAGATTGATGACCACAGGCAGGAATGATTTCCTGTGGCGTTCTGTGGTGCATCTGGGTAAGAGGAGTCTTCTGCTGAAGGAGCTCGTCTGCTGGACCAGTGTGTCGTGGAGAGAATGTGAGTCATTGTCTAAGATGGACTGAAGCCTGGACAGCATCCTCTTCTCTGCGACAGTGGTCAGAGTGTCCAGCTACTCCCCCACAACATCACCGGCCCTCCTGATTAGTTTGTTCAGTCTGTTGTTGTCAGTGACCCTCAGCCCACTGCCCCAGCATGTGACAGCAAAGAAGAGCTTACTAGCAACAACTGACTCATAAAACATCCTCAGCATCGCCACACAGATGTTAAAGGACTTCAGCCTGCACTGCACATCGTTTTGCAGTGCACCAATATGTACCGCAACTATGTAGAATGTTGCTGTCAGAATTTTCTGCAAAACATCTATACTATAAATAAAAAAATAAAAATAAAATAAATGATAAAAAAGGGAGAAGGTTAAAGTGAAGGTTTTAAATGCACACAAATTATGCAATGAACCTCCTTAGGTATTATTGCAATAACCATAATGATATAAAATAACATACATTTTTTGCACTATACCAAATCTAGGAATCATTACTGGAGTTACTTGTACCTGCATTCTGCAAACAGAAAAAAGCGAATTATTGAAAAGGAAAAAAAAAACTTAAGTATTTGGGAAACCCTCAACATGTAGATTTATTATGACACAAAATGTATCACATAAATAATCAGACTCCTTTTCAATAAATGGATTGCTACTGAATGATTAAAGAAAGAGTTTAGAGAGATGAATTTTACTTTTACTGTTTTTTAACAATGTCTCTAAGATCATCCTAACTTCTGCCCCTAATTTTAGGGTGCAGTGTTAAAAGAAGGACATGAAATACAAAACTGAGAAATTTTTGTTGTTCTTAGAAAAAAAATGTAAAATCCTACATTTAAAGGTTATTAGACAATCTGAATAGGTCATATAATAACAAAAAGACTCAAATGCTAATACCAAAGTAAAACATTGTCCTCTTGGGTTCAGCATACAAGAAATTTCTGAGTTACAATAATAGCAAATGGGAACCACCCAAGGAATAAAAATATGTATTTATTAGGTGGTCTTTACCAGTTAAATCGATAAAATACCTTTTAAACATCTCGTGATAGTATGTCTGGTCATTGGTAGGTTTATTATAATCCTAGCACTCATATGACAAAATTAATATAGATCTATCAACAGTTTGCTTGCTACAAATGGATGGTTTTCTTAGTTCAAATCCTAATCAGATCCCATTTATGTAAAGTTTGCTCTCAACACCTATGTAATTTATTCAAGTTTTTAATGTTGCTTTTAAAATCTACAAAACATTTTATATTGCAATCATAAAAATAATTTGCCCACATCCATTATATCTGTTGTTATTTTGCTTTTTTTTTATATTTGTAAAGGCTGCGGCTCTCTTGAGTTTGCAGTGCAAATTTTAAGAAATTATTTTTTTGTTTGTTTGTTTTGGCTCTTAGAGGTTGTTTTTGTAATCAAAGCTTAGTCTAGCCTGTTGTAAGATCATTTTAAATGTTCTCCGGTTATTTGATTTAAGTTCTTCTTAAAGTCTTGAATATCTTAATAATTTAAACTCCCATACAATACTCTAAAAGCATGTTTTGTTCTTATTACCGTAATTATGATTGAGTCGAGGGCTTGACAGCAGGGGGCGCTAGGATAAGTGACCAACAACGAATAAAGACAACGAAGAAGAGATCATCTCGCTAATCTGGAGGTAAAATGGCGTCGGGTGCCATTTCAACAGATTCAAAGAAAATAACAGAATTAAGAGTTGTTGACCTTAAATCCGAGCTCAAGAAAAGGGGCTTGGACACATTTGGTGTAAAAAGCGTTCTTCTTTCAAGACTGAAACAGGTAAGAGAACGAAGCAGTTTATTAAAAGAAAGGTCGAATCATCTCGGTATGCGATGCAGAAAAGCTAGTGCTAATTCTAGCTAATGTGATGGCGTTCCAGCAGTGCTACATAATATGGCTTCTTGTAGTTTTTAACTTCTGGGTTTCGCATTTGTGTTTCCCAGTTAAATGCGTACGTGCCTCTTTTTAGTTGTACGTGGCGTGGGATAAATTCAGTCTTCGTCTGGCACATCAATTGGATGTTCGGAAATAAACACTGAAATGTAAAAACTCCCATTGTCTGCCACTAACTGGATAATATGTATAATTCAATTATTGTTTAAATAGAAAAGTTCCTCGGTGAACAGAGTTTAACATTAAAAAAGGCAGATAACGCATGATCGGCCTCCGCTGTTGAAATCCTGCTGATTGGTCCACTCTACTGCGTTTCTGCAGCAGCTGGTTCAACACCATACATTTGGTTGATGCCCTGATAACTGAATATGTTTAATGGAATGGTTACTGTCTTATTGGCAATTTGAGTGCAATAATTTCTAAACCCTATTTAGTTGCATAAGCAGCAGTTTTGGCCTTGTATATTCTGGATACAAATCTATGCTAGTGGGCCTTCTGTCTGGACTTGACATCCTCTCAGTGTATTTACAGATTATATTTTTGTATCTTCCTCCCACATTTGACAGGTTGTTGGTCTTTCTAAATTTCTATTCAGATGTAGTCTGTTTGGAGCGTTTTATCATCCAGCTGATGGTCTGTGATGGATGGTGGATGGTAATGGAAACCATTGGATAAGAGGTGGAGCAGCATGCCTCTTGTCCAATGACCTGAAGATGTGCAACAGCCTACCACAATCCTTCTCAAATTAGGGAGTAGTTAAATTTGCATTGGTTATTTGTAGGGCTGCAACAAACCATTTCTTTTTCGTTGCAAATCAATGACTGTGTCGGTTATTTTTTTTAATTAATCGATTAAAGGTATAGTTAAGGATTTTCGAGATCCTGTGCTAGAGGTGGGCGATACTGGGAATTTTTACTCCGTATGATACCTAGTAAATCCAGGGTCAGTATTGCCGATATTGATACGATACCGATACTTTTTACATTTAAATTTGATGTATCATGGAACTGCTGACCTTTCAGTGTTTTTGTGATTTTTATTTTATTGTTGCAATTGAATAATAATAATATTAATAATGTTCTGTTCATTTTTTCCCCTAATCCACTTCTTATATCTATCAATCTTTATGTAATTTTGTTTCTATTGTGTACACTTGGCTGTTGCTTTATTTCTATAAATGTCCCCATCGTGGTATAAATAAACAATTAGTTAATGGTAGCCCATTTAGATAACATTTTTTAATGGGATAAATGTACTGGGTTCTTTCAAGGTCTTAATCACACTTTCTGTGTGGGCTCCACTAACATAAGACATATAATATCTACTTTGAGAGTCAACATGAAGGTGATCACTCTTATCTACCTGGATATTCTCTGGAGGGTTGAAACGCCTCAGTCAGTTACGTCTCTTTGAGAGTCGAGGGTCTTTTGGGGCATTGAGTGAAGTTTTGTCTACTCAACATTTTCTTGCTTATGGTTTTTCATGTGCTTATATAAACAGCTTGTCGTTATTTAATTTACAGTATTAAAATATAGCCAAATGGCGCTTTATTCTCTGTTCTCCATGTTTTTTTGCTCCGGTTGTCTCTCCCTCCGAGTCTGCGAAGAGGCGGTGCGATTGTTTGTGTGTCGAGTAGAGAGAGAGTGAGCTGAGTGGGCGGGCCAGGCTGAGCCTGCATCCTGAGCTGGTGACGAGAGGATAGAGGGGAGCAGCAAAGTGCTGTAACACAGATGGGGAGAGTAGTGGATCTGCTGCAGCTGGTGCATGTGGGAGAGAATAAAAAGTATTGTTCAGTACCAGAGTTGGTATCAATCTTAGGATCGATCCACTCATTTCTACCGTGTACTTGCTCCCGAGACGAAACGCCTATTAAACACATGCAAGAGAGTGCATGAGCCTATTTCTCCTCATGTACATTCTGTTTAAAAGTTGTTCTCATAGCTCATACAAGCTTACTGTGTCTGAATGTCCAACTTAACCCCTAAATCCCTCAATCATTATATAGAGTGGGGACTATATAGTGGACTTTATAGCAAACTCGGGTAACTTACCATTCGGACAGATGATCACTTAATTTAGCTCCTCATTGGTCGCATGACTCTGCCTCTACCATGCAGTGCCTGCACCATTTTTATTACCGTATTTTCACGACCATAAGGCGCACCGTACTAAAAGGCGCAGTCTCAGTTATGTGTCCCATTTTTTATATACAGGTACATGTCCTCTACTACCTTTAAATACCTCTACTGCGTATTTTAAAAATACAGCGGGCCCAAAACTGAGTATGACTGTGCTTTATTCATGTATTTATTACAAAGTATTAATCAAACCTGCGAGCTGGCCGTGAGACAGACACATCACAGATGACACAGCGCTGTGATCACTCCTAAATGAACTTAAAATCCTGAAACCTGCCGACGGAATATGTTCGCTTTTATTGCCGTAATCCTGGTGCCTGCAGTTTAAATTATTTAGAAGAAAAACACCTGCCAGCCGCCGCGGTGAGGCTGCTGTTGAATGGATTTCTGCTGTCGGTGCACCGCTGGTATGTGGGGGTCTGAGCGCCTCCGACAAATATAGATAATCTGGATGAACTGACTGCAATTAAGTTTTCAGGTGGCCTTTCTCACTTAAAAACATATTAAAACTACTTTATTCCCACTGATCACAGCAAATATAGCTGCAAGATTTAGATTATTTAGATGAAAAAACACCTGCCAGCCACCACGCTGAAGAGGAGGAGACCTGCCCAGAGGCTGCTGTTGAATTAAGTTTTCAGGTAGAAAAATAGAGCGGGAGCAAAACTGAGTATGTTTGTGCTTTATTCATGTATTTATTACAAAGTATTAATCAAACCCATCAAAGTCATCATCCTATGTTTCTGAATAAAACAGCTGCGCTAAATCAGACATGCCAATTTCCCCTTCTTCGCTGTAAGAGTCACTTTCCGTGCAGCGTGGCTCCTCAGAAATAATGCCGGCTTTTGCAAAAGCTTGAACAACAGAGCCAGCAGACACGTTAGTCCATCTACAATCCATCCGCAAACGGTGGCGTAACTTGCCCGGCGCTGCCTTCCACTTATCCTGAAACTGTGGTCTCTGTCGGTCACCCATCGCTCCCACGCCGCTCGCAGCCTTACTTTGAACGGCCGCTTCACACTGAGTGTCGAGCGGTTGAAGTTCCTTTGTCAGACCCCCGGGATAACGGCGAGCACAGCGTCCATTTGATTCACCTTTTTTTTTTCACATCGGCTGTGAGATGGGCACGCAGCGATGGTGATGCATGGAAAAAAGCACCTGGTCTCCTCACATACACCTGCCTTTCATCATCTCCAGCCTTTTTCATTTGCGTTAATGTCATCAGAGCGCTGTGTCTGTCTCGCTGTCAGCTCCCAGATCAGCTTCTCTGATTGGTTGATGCGGCGCGTCCAGCAGCAAAACTTCAATTTTTCCATCTCGAGCAGCAGCAGCGCGTTGGCGGTGCGTCAGATGCTAACGCTCCCGAGGCGCTGCGGGTGCTGCTCAAAACGCGCTGCGGGACCTTTTGCTGCACCTATACGCGCGTCAACCATTGACTTTGCATGTAAACTCGCTGCTTCTGCTGCACCTGCTGGGTCCGGTTCACACCGATGTCAAGCGGTTGAACAGCGAGCACAGCGTTAATTTGTTTCCCCATGTTTTTCACATCAGCTGTGAGATGGGCACGCATGGAGTCACATATTAACAGCGATGGTGATGAGTGGAAAAAAAACACCTGGTCTCCTTCCATTCAGCCACTCTTTCATCATCTCCTCAATGAGGTGGTCTCAAAAGTCGCAGTTACAACACACATAAGGCGCACCGCACCAAAGGGCGCACCGCACATTTTGAGGGAAAAAAAAGACGTTTAAGTGCGCCTTATAGTCGTGAAAATACGGTAGTCGCCTCTGTTGCTACCTTACAGCGGCAACTAATAACAAAGATGTCTGTAGCAACAGCGGCATTATGGGAAAGCATTATGGGATTAGCGACAGCATACCCTCTATTGCGTATTGCCAAAGGTTCCTCGAAAAATATTTTTTTCTAAATTAAACCAGGTGACCAAACTTTTCCACTTAAGGAGTTCTGGATTGAGAATATTGACACACGCTAAAAAAAAATTGAAATCTTAAATGCAAAATGTTTATATTTTTCCTACAATTTTGATAGAATACTGCCCTAATTGGGCTGCTCTGTCAGCTAAAGGCATGTTTTAGTCTTTATAACCTAGTTAACGATTAATCGATTACTAAATTTGATTATTTCAATTGATTTATCATGATTAATCAGATCGTTTTCAGTTTATTATATTTGAGACCCTCCATCTCTAATCTAATATTTGTGAAAGATCTCTCTTTGGTTAAAAACAGTAGTCGGTTACTATGATTTAATTTAATCCTCAAAAATATCTTTTTAAGGCTATTGAAGATGAAGGTGGTGATCCAGAGTACATTCAGACATCGCCGTCAACTGATACACCTTCAAGGTTAAGTGGAAAAAGTAAAGGTAATTTTAGTTCCACTTCTTATTTTAACATTTTATCTGAATATGAAAGTTTCATACACATGCTTGTTAATGTGCCCTCTTTATTTTTTAGGGAAGAAATCCGATTCGGATTTGGAAAACACAGCAGATGAAGACAGTTGTTCCAAGGTGAGTGTTACAAACCTAAATAGGTCTGACTTGAAGCTGCCTGGATAGTTGCCTACTGCGTAGGGCTGGGCGATATAGAAAAAAAGCTTATCGATTAAAAAAAATGCATATTGATCGATATCGATAATTATTGAAAAGATTTGAAACCATATTTTATGTGCAGCTCTGCCTGGATTTTTTTATGATATTACTAAATTATTTAATTTTAATAAAGAACACAAAGACAGAATTCAAATTAAATATTTATTTAACCAACTTTTTTAACCATAACAATTGTTTTAAAGAAAAATAACTCAAGAGACCTGAGTTATGTTATTTAATACTGACAAAGAATAAACTAAAGTGACCAGAAAAGTGACCAAAATAAATATATCAAATAAATAAATAGAATACCCTATTTGGGTGGGAATAGTACACCACCAGCTTGTGGTAATTAAAAGATTGTAGGACTAGGCTACCATGTAAACTCCACTCAACAAGAACAAAAACCCCAAACAAAAATCAACTCACCCTTTATTCTAGCATTTCTATGGGGTATTTTTTCTCACCCCCGTTCTTCTAGAGGTGCTGCTGGCACCTCGTTATGGTTCAGCTTAGTTTCCTGCTTTAACCTGAGTTATTACTTTGAAGTTGCTGGCCCCTCAGCATTTTTCTCTCAGTTGTTAGAACTACGTGGGAAAACTGCCCAGAACTGAAAATATATATATAAATTTATTTTTTTCCCCGAAATTCCCGAAGATTCCTCGGAGGAGAGCCGCGCCGGGGCCTACACAGCTCGTACTCCTGCAGGTGTGAGCGGCTGAGATGATAAAAAAAAAAAAAAGTTGGTTGTGTTATCAGACTTCGTTTTCACTGGTTCCCTACACATTTTACAGATGACTGTGGTTTGTTTTTTGTCCGACTTGCCATGACCGAAATACTGCCAAACTGGCGAACTACAAAAACCCTTCTTTGGAACAATTTCCTCCGCCTCTCCTTGCTGCGACATCTTCATGTGCTCTGTGTTGTGGTTTGAGAGGGCGGCGCTTTGTGATGGCGTGCCTGGGTCCGCGATTGGTTGGGAGGCAGTAGTGACTAGCATAAACCTACATGATAGGCTACAATGAGAAGGATGGAAAACTGCGTTTTTTTTATCGAACTTTTATCGACTCTCTTTTTTTCTATTGCGCCACACGTCTATCGATCGATATATCGTTATTGAATTATCGCCCAGCCCTACTACTGCGATACTTTTATGCTGGGCTAGAACTTTTTATTTATTTATTTTTTTTTACGTTAAACATGCTCCTCTACTATTTGATTTTTAGGTTTTTTTAAGTACAGTTACATTTTTGACAAACACTGCATTGAACTGATGTGGGAATTTACAAATGGAAATGCCAGTCCCAAACTGAATCCTTGTCTGAAAATTCTTTTTTAATCAGACTCCTTTAAAGGGGGTCATAGAATGATTCTATATAAGGTATTTGGTGCTGGTCCTTAAGGTCTCTGAATAGGGTGGGTAACATTGGTTGGGCAGAAAATGGCATCTTTGCTGTTCTATTCTGTTCTGTTGCACCCTAATGTTAGCCCGGTTAAAAGCCCCAGAGTGAAACGACAGGTTTTCTTCCTTTTACTGTATGCTCATGTATAATTAAATGAGCTGTTCGCTGATTGCTTGGTTTACAACGAGCTAAGCTGCTGAGCAAAGACGCATCATAGCAACAAGCACTCACTCACTGAAACATCAAATTGTTGATATGGTAGGGTGACCGGGCGCCCTCTTTTTCTCTGTCATGTCCTACTTTTCATATCTAAAAAAAAAAAATGCAAGGCTTAATTAAAAAATTTCAAACTGGGGATTTTGGTCGACTATAGTGCAGCAGAACTGAGCCGTGAGCTCCAGGGCTGGTCTGGGAACCCCAGCGGACGGGGGCAAGGAGCAAGCAGGGGACGGGACGACCGAAACCCGACCTGGTGACGGTAGCCTGGACACTGGCGGCCCTGTGCTTTCCCCTGCCTGCCTTCATGTTACACATGAATTTCACATGAAAAACATCTGCTGTTAAAAATGCAGACAAACAATCGACTCTAGTGCTTTTCAATGCAGCAGATTTCTGACATTCTGTTTTAAGCTATTACAGGGTTTCCACGGGTCAGTAAGTGTCATTAAATCATTATTTGTTAAATTTAGGCCTTAATTGGCATTACAATTATTTAAATATGATAATTGTGGCATTTAAAATGCTTTATTTTTAAAAAATGAATTTAGAAAAACTACTTCATCAGATAAATTATATTGCGATATATTTGCGTGGAACTGCTTTCGGGTGATCATAAAGCCGTATGTTTGGAAAGGAAGCTTGATGTGGTGAAAAAGCTAGAGAATGGAAAAAACGAGGAATTCGGGACATGGCTGCAGCCTGTCGACAGTAAAGATGAAGGATTTTGCTGTTTTTCTCCTATATATGTATGTGTAATGTTAATGGTTATCATCACCCATATAATGTAATATTATTGTATGGATTGAAAACATTTAAAATGGTATTGTGAAACATGTTTTGATATAAGCGATATAAGAGTTCAACACCATCATACACATAATTTTGAAAACAAAAATCATTTGATAAACCCCCTGGTAATCACAACCTGCACATGAATGAATTTGTAACTGACCAATTTTTCATGAAGTTTGTTAATTGTCTTACAATGGTGAGTAGATGCTAAATATTTTTTTTTCTTTTTCAATAATGTTTTTAAGGCTAATGAAGATGAAGGTGGTGACCTAGAGTACAATCAGACTCCGCCATCAACTGATGCATCGACAACAATAAGTGAGAAAGTCCAAGGTAATTCTGGTTAACGCTTGACTTCACAATTCTCCCAGAGTGTAAAGGTTGCTTATCCAGTACCATATACTGAATCCATGAGGTACCTCCACGCTTAATCTTTCAGAAAAGAAATCCGATTCAGATTTGGAAAACACAGCGGATGAAGACACATTTTCCAAGGTGAGTGTGGCATGCCGTATAATTTGCCAATGGGTCAGGGGCTGTGGTTTCCTAGGACCGGCTTTGGTAATGTTTACGCTGTGATCAAAAATTAATGTTTACATTCACATATGTAGCCATAGTCTGTAATATACTTTGCTTCATTTTAGAGGTTCAGCACAATCATTGAGAATTACTGAGAAATCAGAAATCTTGAGAAATACTGAACAGCCCTTGGCTAACCCAACCATAGAGAACATGTGTCCCCTTTGGGCTTAACAAGCCACCGTAGCAGTGAAGAAAGCACTGCTACAAATCATATGTGATCCATCTTCAGTGTTTTATCCATGCTGCTGCCAGATGGCTCTGGGACCCCTTCATTTTGCCTGGTGGCATTTCAGAAACATTGTGAAATCTTAAATTAGCTGCTCTTGACATCATGATTATTATCTGTAGGCTAATTACAGAAGAATATGCAAAAAAAGGGATGCTGCACAGAGGACTTCTATTATAGTTTTCCCTTATTTCCTCATTTTATCCCTCAACACTCGAAAGAGTGATGTTTGTTACAAGTTATAGTTACCTTGCAAGAAGAATAACTTAAAAGTTTAAAAAACTGAAGTCAGCTTTTGATCCTCAAAGATGTTGAGCAAATGACTTTCCTGGTTTTTATACACTGAGTAGAGTTACCTGGTCTTTTACACAATTTGCAAATGCACATAAAGTTTAAGCTAAAATATTAGCATAACTTTTCATGTACCGTATTTTCACGACCATAAGGCGCACCGTACTAAAAGGCGCACTCTGTTATGGGTCCCATTTCTGTATTTAACACACACATAAGGCGCACCAGACTATAGGGCGCGTTTTTTATATACAGGTACATGTCCTCTACTACCTTTAAATACCTCTATTGCGTATTTAAAAATACAGCTGGGGCAAAACTGAGTATGACTGTGCTTTATTCATGTATTTATTACAAAGTATTAATCAAACCTGGGAGCTGGCCGTGAGACAGACACATCGCAGATGACACAGCGCTGTGATCACTCCTAAATTAACTTAAAATCCTGAAACCTGCCGACGGAATATGTTTGCTTTTATTACCGGTATCCTGGTGCCTGCAGTTTAAATTATTTAGATGAAAAACACCTGCCAGCCACCGCGTGAAGCCGGAGGCTGCCCAGCCTAGAGGCTGCTGATGAAGGAATTTCTACTGTCGGTGCACCGCTGGTATGTCGGGGTCTGAGTGCCTCCGACAGAAATAGATAATCTGGATGAACTGACTGCAATTAAGTTTTCAGGTGGCCTTTCTCACTTAAAAACATATTAAAACTACTTTATTCCCCCTGATCACAGCAAATATAGCTACAAGATTTAGATGAAAAAAACACCTGCCAGCCACCGCGGTATACGTGGAGGAGACCCGGCCCAGAGGCTGCTGTTGAATTAAGTGTTCAGGTAGAAAAATAGAGCGGGAGCAAAACTGAGTATGATTGTGCTTTATTCGTGTATTTATTACAAAGTATTAATCGAACCCATCAAAGTCATCATACTCTGTTTCTGAATTGCGCTAAATGCGCTAAATCAGACATGCCAATTTCCCCTTCTTCGCTGTCAGCGCGCTGGCACTTTCCGTGCAGCGCGGCTCCTCAGAAATAATGCCGGCTTTTGCGAAAGCTTGAACAACAGAGCCAGCAGACACGTTAGTCCAAGCATCTACAATCCATCCGCAAACGGTGGCGTAACTTGCCCGGCGCTGCCTTCCACTTATCGTGAAACTGTGGTCTCCGTCTGTCATCCATCACTCCCACGCCGCTCGCAACCTTACTTTGAACGGCCGCTTCACACCGATGTCGAGCGATTAAAGTTCCTTTGTCAGACCCCCGGGATAACGGCGAGCACAGCGTTCGTTTGATTCACCTTTTTTTTTCACATCGGCTGTGAGATGGGCACGCAGCGATGGTGATGCGTGGAAAAAACCACATGGTCTCCTCACATACACCTGCCTCAGCCACGCTTTCATCATCTCCTCATCCATCCAGCCTTTTTCATTTGCGTTAATATCATATGTCATCAGAGCGATGTGTCTGTCTCGCTGTCAGCTCCCAGATCAGCTTCTCTGATTGGTTGATGCGGCGCGTCCAGCAGCAAAACTTCAATTTTTCCATCTCGAGCAGCAGCAGCGCGTTGGCAGATGCTTAAACGCTCCCGACGCAGCGCCTGCTGCTCAAAACGCACTGCAGGACCTTTTGCTGCACCTATACGCGCGTCAACCATTGACTTTGCATGTAAACTCGCTGCTTCTGCTGCACCTGCTGGGTCCGGTTCACACCGATGTCGAGCGGTTGAACAGCGAGCACAGGGTTAATTTGTTTCCCCATGTTTTTCTCATCAGCTGTGAGATGGGCACGCAAGGAGTTGCATATTAACAGCGATGGTGATAAGTGGAAAAAAAACACCTGGTCTCCTTACATTCAGCCACTCTTTCATCATCTCCTCAATGAGGTGGTCTCAAAAGTCGCAGTTACAACACACATAGGGCGCACCGCACCAAAGGGCGCACCGCACATTTTGAGGGGAAAAAAAGACGTTTAAGTGCGCCTTATAGTCGTGAAAATACGGTACTCTCAATCACGTCACAGACTGCATCAAACTGACCTTATAAATGCGTTTTTTTTTATTGCATATACACTATGTGTATATAAAATTACGATAAAAGCTGTAATTTATGTACAAAAATTGACATTGTGTGAATCTGTGTTATCATCCGCATAGCACTTTGTCAGACTTTTCAAACTAGAAATGACGAGCTATAAAGCACCAAAACTCACCCAACTGCCCTGAATTATTACTCCATTCAGTCTTATTTAAGATTAGAAGATGCGGTAAGCTTGATGTTTGGTTCGCAAGTTTAAGGTTTTATGAGTTAAATCAAAATGACTATACTACATCACTTTTAGCCTTGGACAATAACACAAAACATCTCAAGAAATCATAAACTTAATTCAGGTGTAAGCTGTAAATGTTTTTGTTTTGATCTGAAAATGCACATCAGTTTTGTATCTACCTGTAACAAACGTTCAACTCTGTGGCGATTTACCAGTATTATTCCAGTCAAGTTGGGTGTGATGATTCATCAGGTGGATAAGCTGTTGATAATCCCATGTATCCCTGAAATCTTTTGTTACAGTAAGGTTTGCCGGATCAGGAAGGGACAGGAGGAAATCTGAGATTTCTTTAGATGTTAAGAAATCTTATTTGCATATGCATTTGAAGGGATGGAATTAAGGTGAAACTGGGATGTGCGAGGATGTTTACTCATTTTTTTTACTGAATTTTTTTAACACTACAAATTTCAGAATCGTAATTAATAAAGTGATACCATCTGTTTTTTTTGTTTTTTTTGAGTTTTTACGGCACTAGTGGCTCGTTTTTCTGACAGTAGGCTGACAGGAAGAGGGAGAGAGAGATGTGGCAATGGACCATAGGTCCGATTCGAACCCGGGTCGGCCGCGTCGAGGACCAAGTCCTCCGTACATGGGTCACGCTCACTAACCACTGCGTTCATTTCACTTCAATCACAAGAACTAAACATCACAGCAGTTCACTCTTATGATCAGATTTCCTGAATTACAAATGCATAAACAGATAACCCACCAGGTAACCTTAAAAAATGCTTCTTTGTGAGAGAAAATAGCACGGTTGAAAAGTAACTGATTTCAGCGGACATTATTCATTTCTCTGTCATATTACACAACCAAAAATGTAATATAAAGGGGAAAAAATACCAAAAAAGGAAAGATCAGGGTTCAGCCTGATATGAAGTGTTAATGGGTCAGGTTTGTATTTGAATGGAAGATATCTGCTTGACAGTTCAGGTTCTCTAGTCATCCTAATGGGTTCAGGTGCGTTTGTGAAGCTGGCCCTGTGCAGGACTGATGGTGCTTCCTCTAGCTCAGCAAGCAACATTCCCTGTTGTTACAAGTTGTTAGAAACAGAATGGTAAACATGCAGAACCACATGGAGGTGAAGATTAATCTGTGATTCAATCAGTTTTTCCACTGGCATGCAAAAACTTAATAAAACCAGGCTAAATTAAAATATTCAGCATCCAACAATTCGATACGCTACTTGGTTCGACACAAGAGCACGCAATAGTTTTTGGTCTTTAAATTTGTTTCCTTAGTTATTTTGGCTCTTTTATTTATTTATTACTTTTTTATTTGTGTATTTTGATAAAAATTTTTGCACAGACAAATCCTGAAGGCCTTCAATTCGGCCAGGACCCACCAGTTGGGAAAGACGAATAAATTAGAGACGGTTAATTGAAATCAACTGCTTTAAAAGTTGGTTTAAATTGATGCACCAGTGGTACAAAAACCACAACATTGAAAAGGGTCAGAATGAGGCGCACATATGAAAAACTATTTAGTTGGCGTGGTTTGGTGTGTGCCGTGAAAGAATGCTGTGCTAACTCTACACACAGCCTGATTAGCGCTATTGTCCACTATTGTCATAGTTAAGTATCCAGATGCTGGATAATGAACTATAAACTTGACTTTAGCTGAAACTGTATTTTCTTTCAGCCCTTTTGTGCTTTTTTTTCTTTTTAAATTACAGTTTTTAAGAGTACTCTTTACATAAAGATTTTTTTTGGTTATGCTCAAATAAAAGTAATACATTTGACAAACTGGTGTTTATATTTGTGTGGAAAGAGTCTCATCTCCTCTCCTCTTTTTCTAGGAAGTTGAGGAGTCTGAATCTGAAAAGGGTATGTATGCCACCACACGTTTCATGTTCGTTGCTTTTCTCTTAAAGTCTTATGCTTCTGAGCCCTGGTGAATATCGTTTCCTGTATTCAATGGTATTTAAATGCGGTTGCACTATCTAGGGAAACTATGAAGAAGAAGTGTTGAGACAATTTGGATGTTTTTCGAAGAACGAATCGCATGGGTCCCTTACATTTCTGGCTCTAGGTCTCAATTTTTCCACATCCATTGCCTTTGAGTTTTTGCTGCTTTTAAGGGTTCTGCTTTCCAAGTTCTCGTGAAGAATGAAGTTTACCAAGGACATAATTTATGTCCCATCAGAGGAAAAAAGTCACTTCAAGATCATGGCAGTCTAAGCAGTGACTGACATGACTGGAAAGACCTGTGATAAATGTACTGGCAAACATCTGAATACACCTCCACTTTTTCTACTGGAATAAGGCACCTTGTTAGAGGTTTTATCAAGCATCTGGAATCCTCTAAAGTCAAGGACTGCTACGTTCATCGATGCCGGTTCCTTTTAGATATAGGACGTACTTTATGGAGGACAGTTCTTCTATCTTTGAGGCGTACATGGAGACTTTGAAGCATGTAAAGAACCTGCATCGCTACGCTCAAAGGACCTGCAGGTTTTGAATGTGTACTGTTGTCGGGACACCTTGCAGCAAGCTTCACTTCACGATTAATCATCAATTTTGTTGATGGCACGTTAAAGGGGCTCGCACTCGGAATTGAAGAGCTACTGGAAGGTTTCCTGGACCCTACTTGTTTTGTGGACTGAACTCTGATGCATAATGGAAAGGAAAAAATAGATAAGTGAAGAATTGTCTTATATGGACGTGGTATAGCTGCTTCCTTTTTGAGAACAGCTTCACCTTTTATAAATCAACACATCCACTTGAAAAGATGACTCCAGCCCAAGATGAGCCAAGAAGAGAGCCCTGACTCCGTGTTTTTTTTATTTTTATTTTTTAAGATTATGTTGTTGTCTTTTGGTACCTGCGCCCTCGATGACCTTTAACAGTGAATGTGCTTTCTATTCTACTTCTGTTGGTCGAGTAACATGCGACATGTCAATGTTAAGATGTCTGTTTGCCATGTTTATCCTTATTAAATCCCTCAGATGTAACTGATACAGATGACGCTAGTCGCGAAAATTCTAAGCCTCCACCCTGTGAAGACAGCCTCGCTCATTCTGAGGCTGAAGCAGAGTCTGAAACCGTGGCGGCTGAGGCCGACTCAGAGCCTGAACCAGAGGAGAACGCAGAGGCTGACGAGGACGTAGACCGAGAGGCTGAGACCGAAGAAGCCGAGAGGGATCCTGAAACAATGAGCTCCTCTAGAGAAGTAGAGGATGATCACTTGTCTGTCTCAATCCAAAACGAAGACACCCTCACCCTGGATGTTGAAGGTGATGACCTCCTGGAAACAGGTAAACATGTGAGACTTCCAGATCCAGAGGCAGAGAAGAGCACTGAGACCTGTGCTGAGATGGGTCCAGATGATGACATGAAGGAAGAAGACATGGAGGACCACAAAGATGGTAAGAAAGACGATGGAGCCATGAAGAAAGACGCCAGAGACGCCATGACGGATGCTGAAACCGATAAAGAAATGGATTCTGGGAAGAAAGGCCAATCTACTGCAGGGGCCTTGGGTCAAGATAAGAGGTTTGTCTTTCTATGTCAGTTCTTTGATTCTACTACCAAGTCCACCTCACTAAGAGAGCAGCATTGTGGGTAGCCTCAAGATGATTTTTGTTTTTTTGTTTTTTTTTTTTGGCCATAAGGAAATTGTTCACAGATGTACCTTATCCTGCACTTTGCTGCTTTGGTTTATTTCTCTGAAGTTGGTTAAATGTGATTAACCAGGAGACAAGAAAACAAGTCTTTATTTTGATACTTTGATCCTTTTGCGGTTTCTACACATGGCAGTGTAAAAACAGCATTAGCCTCCATGATGATGATGCTTTTTTTTTCTCTAAATATTTTTTCAAACGGTGATGCAATGACGTTGAGCAGACCACTGAAGATTTCACTGACCCAGGGATGAAAAAAAAAAAAATCAATTGGCTGACCACCCGATCCACCATGCAACCGGAAAAAAAAAGAAGCTTTTGAGACTCCGGCACAGATCCACACCCTGCCTTAAGGATGTTTTTTATTTTTGTTGCTCTTTTATTTTATTTTATTTATTTTTTTCTTCCTTCAGGAGTTGGAAAATATGTTTTTGATCTATATGATGGATGTTTTTCTTTTTGTTCATGATTTTATCTACCCTCACTTATTTTAGTTTTGGTTTTGTAACATTCATGTTCTAGCTCTTCAAGAGACAAAGATGGAAAATCTGCAAAGGATGAAAAAGGTAAGATGGCTTGAGGTTTAAAAAAGACATCGCTCTGTTAAACTTCCAACTAATGCTTAAAATCTCCTTAACTTGAACAGCTGTCAGCAGCTCTTTTCGTAACCTATGGGTGAGCGGTCTGTCCTCGAACACCAAGGCAGCTGATCTGAAGAACCTGTTTGGCAAATATGGGAAGGTAAGAAATCCTGGAAACGTTTGGTTAAACTTGGTGCCAGCGATGATTGTTTGGACCACTGATCAAGATGTATAAAAAGTGAATGAAGAACAAAACCCAACTGTTGATTTAGGTACATTATTTAACTGAGGGAATCAAAAAATCCTCAACCCCCATAACGGAGATGTCCAAGGCAGTTATATTTCCCAGAATGCCATGCACGGAGAGCTCTCCTCGTAAAGCATTATGGGACCAATAATTATTGGTCACAAAACTTGCAAACCCTGCCCACCAGAGAAAACCCATAAGGGAAGAATTGTATATTTAAAACAGAAGTGATCATTTTCTAATAGCCTTTAAATGGTAGGAAAACGCTGTCTTGTATACTCGGATTACACTAGCTGGCACTATTTTTCTTTATATTTTTTGCTATCCATTCCCCCCAAACCACCCTGGTTTGTAGATATTGAACCCCACCTCAAGGTTACTACTGGATATTCACAAAAAGAGAACTTTCCAGTAAACCTGTCCTTCCAAGTTTCTTCTGGAAAAAAACTGTTTCTTCCGGCTGGAAAAACCCAGAATTTAACTGAATGGTAAACATAATTTATAAACATCCTTTGATATTTTATTTTTTTTACTCTAGAGAAGATTTTAGAGCACCCCACTGGTTAACATTTTTTAAGAAAGCTTGCATCTTTGAAAATAGAAACTTGTACTATGTTCCTCCTCCTGTGATGCATTACATTGAAACAAGCTCAACCTAGCTGTGTAATCTTTTCTCACTTAAAATGGAATACAGCAATATAAATATTAATAATAATATAAAAAGTGAAAAATCTCAAATGATTACTTCTAACTGGACTGTTTCTGCCCCTGTGGAATAAAATGTGGATAGCACTATTCAAACGCTTCACAAGGTTGGATGATTCAGAGGAAGTGATTTTTTTTTTTTATATATCCTCTCAGTAGAAACTGCTTTAAATCATCTTGATTTATGAATTCTCTCTAGCTTTTTTTCAGCTCACATTTTCTTTTCTGATTTTTAGGGACTAAATTAAAAGTTAGTTTTATATTGTTTAAATTTGATGCTTATACATCTTCACAGGATACAATTTAAGTCACTTTTGTCTCCTGTCTGATAAGCATTAAATCTGAAAATGATCCTTTACTTCAAAAACTAGAACTCCTAAGGCGCAAATATGTTTTCTACAGGTGCTCAGTGCTAAAGTGGTAACAAACGCTCGCAGTCCTGGTTCAAAATGTTACGGCTTAGTGACGATGTCCTCCAGCGCTGAAGTGGCGCGCTGCATCTCCCACCTTGACTGTACTGAGCTCCATGGACAACAGATATATGTTGAACGGGTAAACGGCTACCTCGAATGCTGCTATGGTAATGGTTAATGGATTGTATTGTCTTAATTTGACTTTTTTTTTTTTTTCTTCAAAGGTCAAAAATGATCCACTGAAAAAAGATCCCTCAAAGAAAGAAGCGGAGGACAAAGCAGTGTCTGGCAAGTCGAATATTAAGCACAGTTTGACTGGGACTAAACAGACAAACAAGTGAGTAACAACTTCAGGGTTCATGTCCCTAATACGAAAGCTTTATTCAAAATTGCATCTTTATTTTATGTTTTTTTTTTTTTTTTTTTTTTTATATACTTCTATTGAATGTTTAGATCACAGCCGACTAAAAAAGAGGAGAAAAAATCTGATAAGGAGAAAAAATCTGATAAGCAATCAGAAAAAGACAAGGATTCATCAAAGAAACTTGAAGGAAAAAGTGGGAGATCTGAGTCGGTCTCATCGAGCTCTGACGATGATTCAAAGAAAGATGACAGAAAGCGTGGCCGTAAGTCTCTCCTCCAGTTTTCAGAGCTGGAATGATCTTAGCTTTTTCATTAAGTGTCTCTCATATAAATGTTTCTTGTTAATAATTGTTTATAGAAACAAAGAGTCCAGGAAAGACGGCAGCAGAAGATCCTCCTACTAGAGAGGAGAGCTTTGGCAGAAGGCCTTTTAGAACCGGAAGATATTTTAATAATAGAACAGGAAGATATTTCAATAAAGTAAGCTTTTATTTATGTTTTTAATAGGTTGTTTTTAAGTAATCTTATTAAATTGTCAAAAATGGATGTTAAGTAAAAAAGTTTTTGTGTTTGTTTTTTTTCCAGCCCTATGGGAACCCTAACTTGGATAAGCGTCCAAGGTGGTTGATCCCTCCTGAAGAGGTTAAACTTTTCTCTTTATAGCCTATTACAAATTGCTTTAATCTGTTTATTTAGTTAAATTGGGTCTTAATGATTTTATTGTTCCCTTAGGTACAAATGCTGAGAGAGAAGCGGCAAGCCTTTTTCAACAAAGGGGTAGATAGTGATATTCTGCCCTTTGACAAGTTTAAGGAGCAGAAGGACCAGAGGACGCGTGAACAAATCGAGCGCTTCCAGAGAGCGGCTGAGCTGCGCAGGTAGCTCTCTTACATTAACCTCAAAACACTTTGAAATGAAGAAAATATTATTTAATCCTGAGAGAAACAAAAACATTTGTCTGAAGGCGCCGTGAAATAGCAGAACAAGAGCGGAGGGAGCGCGAGAGAGTCCGTCTGATGCGTGAACGGGAAGAACGGGAGATCCTGCTCCGGGAGCGCCAAAGGCTGGAGATGGAGAGACAAAAACTGGAAAGAGAGCGCCTGGAGAGAGAGAGGCTCGAGAGGGAGAGGATTCGCATAGAGCAGGTAAAGTAAACATGAACGGACTCACTCAATGGGTTAATACAACTTGCGGGGATATATGTTATTTTTTTTCCCCAAACATGCATCAAATTTATTGCCAGTTAACTTTGGTTTCTGTTACAAGAGAAACATCCCAGTGAACCATTTTCTGTTTTAAAGGAACGTCGTAAGGAGGCTGAGCGCATGGCACGTGAACGAGAGGAGCTTCGGCGGCAGCAGGAGCAGCTGCGTTTTGAACAAGAGAAGAGAAATAACCTGAAAAGGGGTCGTGAGGTGGAACACGGGTATTTATTTTATTTATTTATATTTTTTTTTGGAGCATTTGTTGCTCTCTTGTCAGCTTAAACTGAGTTTTATGCATGAGGTAGGAGAAAGCTTTTAGTAAAAAACAAAACAAAGGCTTTAATGCTTACATAGAAACTTTGTTTTATTAGCAGCTAGGTGTGATAGTTAACAGATAAATTAATTTAACTCTGAGCAGAATTGTCTTTTATATGTATATTTTTTTCGAGCACAGTAAGAAAACTTCGACAAAAGATTAACAATCATTTCTGTCCCATTGAAAAGCCTTTAGCGAGCAGAGAGCTACCCATAGAGAATACAGGGGTTTGCAAAAGTACACAAAGTGATGTAAAGTTGTGAAAGGAAAATTACACATGCCACAAAACCGGCTTAAATTTGAGGCTTTTTTTCTGCAATATGTTCGACGTTTCTGTCAGTTCTGTAAGATTGCAGTACTTAATTGTAAATGTTTGAAATCTGAACCCCGTCGCCCCCTGTTCAGTGATTGTTTTTTCCCTCTAACATCCTCTCCGAGGTCCAAGTATACAGCTGAATCCCACCCTTAGCCACTGGCTCTCCTGTACTACTCCATGTGTTTGTGTAGATGTTGTTTTGTCTTTCAGTTTTTTTTGTTTTCATCTGTTGCCACTTATTCTTGATTTGGTATAGGTCTGGACTTTGACGGGGGCATTCTAGGACATGAATATGTTTTGTTTTCAACCATTTCATTGTGGCCTTAGCATTATGTTTAAGATTGTCATCCTGCTGGAAGGCAAACCTCGACCAAAGATTGCCCTGTATTTGGGTTCATCCATCAACTCTGATCATCTTGATTGTTTCTCCTGAAGCAGACCACTCCATAGCATGATGCCACTGCCACCATATTTAACAGTAGTTGTGGTCGGTTGAGAGTGATGTGCAATGTTGGATTTCTGCCACTGATAATTTGGCAGACAGGTCCAAATCATCTTTTTCCACTCTTTGCTCTCTCTGGCCCTTTTTGCTACATCTCTGATCAGTGCTGTTGTTCCTACTGTAAGTTTATCTGGAAGGCCTAGTCTTGGTAGAATTGTACCATACTTTTCCCATTTCTGGAGGATGGATTGAACAACTCCTTTATCCCTGATCTGTCTGCAGTGTACCTTTGACCTTATGATGCCATTTACTCCCCTATAGTCTCTGAACCACCCTGATTCCATCACACAGCAGCTGATTTTGTACTGATATTAGATTATGAACAGGTAGACTATTCAGTCAACAATCAGGCAACTTCTGACAGGGATTGGTTGCACTAGGAGAAAAGGGGCTGAATCATTTTGCACTTTCTATTTTTATTTTATTATTTTTTTTTTATATATTTTATATCATGTATAGTTTTTATTTTGTGAACAATTGATTACCAATTCATTTACTGTGCATTCTGACTATATGCCTGTGTTTTTGACATCTAAGTGAAGCATTAAATGTTTTGCGGTAAACAGGTGGCAAAAATCATTACCAACGGAGTTGAACAGATTTTAGCCTGAAGCAACTTTTTCTGTAGAACAATTTTGACTTGAAAGCTTCATTAGTCTGCTTCATGTTTAGCCGGCGTGATGATCCCTACTGGAACGGCAATAAAAAGATGCATTCTGAGCCAGAGGTCCACCTGAACCAAGGCTCCAACTACAGCCGACCGCAGAATCGCTTCCCCAGCGTAAATCCTCGGGAGAGGGGCCGTTTCTCAGACGCTGGCCATCAGCCTAACACGTTTGACAGGTATGGGAAGATTCCAGGAGTAAAACTTTTTTTAGTGTAGCATATGGTTACATTTCTGGGCCACAAAGCTGGACTCGGTTAAGTAAGATTCATTTAGAAGGTTAAAACATCACCCATGTTGCAGCATCTTTTTAAAATATATTTTTTAGATTTGTGTCACCAGAATGTCTACCATAAATCCTCTTTACTTACACTGGAGCAGAAACCTGCAGAACCATCTCGTTGACAAATCTTGTGAAGTTTGTAACTTTATCATAAATGGTGCAAATAGAAAATGTCATTTGAATGTGTTTTAAACATGATCAAAAGTCATCAATTACTTGACTTTTTAGGTTTAATCATCAAGGCTGTTGGTAGATATCAGTTTAGGTTTCAGCTTAATAACCGTATTGTTTAAAGTGTAATGGCAGTACTGTAACCTGTTTTGGTTCTGATCACCGCCTTTCTTTTTTACTTCCAAGGCGCAATAAATATGACGGCGAACCAGAGGCAAAGAAGAGTCGTCCAGCTCCTCACAGAGAGGGCTGTGGCTTCGAGAGATACCCCAAGAACTTTGATACCGTCCGCAGACCCGAGCCACCTCCCCGTGGTGACACTGACCGCAGAGAAAGAGACGAGAGGCGCCCTCCGCCTATACATGATCGCCCTGTGGGAGCAAGAGCTCCAATCACTGCTGCGTCACACAACCGCCCACTGAGGGATGGACCAGGGTGGAAGAATGATGGAGGGATTAATTCCAACAAGGGAGATATGAGGTATTGAACAGTTTACTCTTCTTGAACATTCATCAGAAGCTGTGCTACATTAACTGTCTGTGCTTCCTGCAGAGGGCCGATGCGCATGCGGGAAGATCGTCCAGGCAGGGACAGCGGAAGGAGTGGCTTTAATAACAGAGGTCAACCCATCGGCATCAATGATCAGGTCTGGTTTTAAAAACTGTTTTTTGTTAGACTAAACTCTGAATACTTTAAACTGAAACAACTACAGGGTGGTTTGATGAATGAGATGAGCCTGTATCTCTACAAAAAAAGCTAAAGAAGTAAATAAAAATGGCTACATATATTTGATTTAATGCTGTAATGACTTAAATGTCCGTGAGAGCAGAGTTGAAATGTCTTTCTGCTTCTAAAAAGGTTACTTTAGGATAGGGGTCTGCAACTTTTTATATCCAAAGAGCCATTTTACCCAGAGTTCAACCAAGTGCCACCTTAAACAACCAACAATTAATGTATTTTTAGCTTTTAAAATAATAAAAGCATAATTTCTAAGCTAATTAAAAGAGAAACGACTCATAAAACATATTTGTTTCTTTTTTAAATGTCATTCTTTTCTGTCCTATGAAAAACACAAAAACTTTTAAGACTAGTATTTATTATAGTACATTCCTTTGCTCTTTACATACCGTATTTTCACGACTATAAGGCGCACTTAAACGTCTTTTTTTCCCTAAAAATGTGCGGTGCGCCCTTTGGTGCGGTGCGCCCTATGTGTGTTGTAACTGCGACTTTTGAGACCACCTCATTGAGGAGATGATGAAAGAGTGGCTAAATGTAAGGAAACCAGGTGTTTTTTTTCCACTCATCACCATCGCTGTTAATATGTAACTCCTTGCGTGCCCATCTCACAGCTGATGAGAAAAACATGGGGAAACAAATTAACCCTGTGCTCGCTGTTCAACCGCTCGACATCGGTGTGAACCGGACCCAGCAGGTGCAGCAGAAGCAGCGAGTTTACATGCAAAGTCAATGGTTGACACGCGTATAGGTGCAGCAAAAGGTCCCGCAGTGCGTTTTGAGCAGCAGGTGCAGCATGTCGGGAGCGTTTAAGCATCTGACGCTCCGCCAACGCGCTGCTGCTGCTCGAGATGGAAAAATTGAAGTTTTGCTGCTGGACGCGCCGCATCAACCAATCAGAGAAGCTGATCTGGGAGCTGACAGCGAGACAGACACAGCGCTCTGATGACATTAACGCAAATGAAAAGGGCTGGATGGATGAGGAGATGATGAAAGCGTAGCTGAGGGAGGTGTATGTGAGGAGACCATGTGGTTTTTTCCACGCATCACCATCGCTGCGTGCCCATCTCACAGCCGATGTGAAAAAAAACGTGAATCAAATGAACGCTGTGCTCGCCGTTATCCCGGGGGTCTGACAAAGGAGCTTCAACCGCTCGACATCAGTGTGAAGCGGTCGTTCAAAGTAAGGCTGCGAGCGGCGTGGGAGCGATGGATGACAGACGGAGACCACAGTTTCAGGATAAGTGGAAGGGAGCGCCGGGCAAGTTACGCCACCGTTTGCGGATGGATTGTAGATGGACTAACGTGTCTGCTGGCTCTGTTGTTCAAGCTTTTGCAAAAGCCGGCATTATTTCTGAGGAGCCGCGCTGCACGGAAAGTGACTCTTGACAGCGAAGAAGGGGAAATTGGCATTTCTGATTTAGCGCAGCTGTTTAATTCAGAAACAGAGGATGATGACTTTGATGGGTTCGATTAATACTTTGTAATAAATACACGAATAAAGCACATTCATACTCAGTTTTGCTCCCGCTCTATTTTTCTACCTGAAAACTTAATCCAACAGCAGCCTCTGGGCGCGTCTCCTCCTCTTCACCGCGGCGGCTGGCAGGTGTTTTTCATCTAAATAATCTAAATCTTGCAGCTATATTTGCTGTGATCAGTGGGAATAAAGTAGTTTTAATATGTTTTTAAGTGAGAAAGTCCACCTGAAAACTTAATTATTGCAGTCAGTTCATCCAGATTATCTATTTCTGTCAGAGGCACTCAGACCCCGACATACCAGCGGTGCATCGACAGTAGAAATTCCTTCATCAGCAGCCTCTAGGCTGGGCAGCCTCCGGCTTCACGCGGTGGCTGGCAGGTGTTTTTCATCTAAATAATTTAAACTGCAGGCACCAGGATACCGGTAATAAAAGCGAACATATTCCGTCGGCAGGTTTCAGGATTTTAAGTTAATTTAGGAGTGACCACAGCGCTGTGTCATCTGCGATGTGTCTGTCTCACGGCCAGCTGCCAGGTTTGATTAATACTTTGTAATAAATACATGAATAAAGCACAGTCATACTCAGTTTTGCCCCAGCTGTATTTTTAAATACGCAGTAGAGGTATTTAAAGGTAGTAGAGGACATGTACCTGTATATAAAAAAGGCGCCCTATAGTCCGGTGCGCCTTATGTGTGTGTTAAATACAGAAATGGGACACATAACTGAGAGTGCGCCTTTTAGTACGGTGCGCCTTATGGTCGTGAAAATACGGTATATTTAACCACTATTAATAGGTGCTGTACCGGGTCCAAAGATCCACATGTGGGTCTGGAGCAGCAGGTTGCAGACCCCTGCTTTAGGATGTGTTAAGGGTGTTGAAATATCACATTTTTATTCCTTTGGTCTCTTTTTCCCCCCCCTTATCTAAATTCACTGTATCATGATGAACATTTCAATAAACCTCCACACGGTTTGACTGGGTGACTGACTCCCAACACCTCTGTTTCTGCAGCCGTTCAGCTCTGGCCGGCAGGTAGTGGTGGAGCGTCACAGCAGGGAGCAAGTACCGAGGAAGGAGTGGCATGGTGGATCAAGCTCTCAAGGAGTCTTTCCTGATAATCGCAGGATGGACAACAGTCGTGGGATGATGCCTACCTCCAGGTACACCAGTTAGACCAGGTGACAAAAGCCTCATCACGTGTTTTTGACACAGCTCTGACGATTGTAACCGTTGTCTCCTTGCAGCCATTCTTCGGGATTGAGCCGGATTGTACAGATCACCAGCAACCCTATTTCCAGCAGCGGCACCGTGGGAGGATTCAAGGCTTTTAAAGGAGCGTCGCGGCCCTTCTGAGTTCAGCTATTTAAAGGATTTAATATTGGAAGACTTTTTGTTCTCCCGAACACTCTGATTTTTAAAATGACTGTTTTGGGCAGCGCATCAGCAGCCCTGTTTTAGTCTATACAGTCTTTATGTCAGTGTGGGTCCTGATAGTTTTGTTGTTACCACCAAAACGTTTTAACATTTCTGAGGTTGCTGCACATCCCTGTCTCCTAGTATCAAGCTTTCCAGTGATGTAGGATTCCTCTTATCGTTAGTGGTTGTATTTTTAGTAGTTTTCCTGTGTAATCTTTTTATTTCAGTGTATTATATAATCCAAAATACTAAGGATTTCTGACAGATGTGGATGTTTCTCTGAGATGGATGACGTTTTTTTTTTTTTTTGAGAAGTCTTATTTAATGAAGGGGATATTTTGTAAAGCCAAACTGATATGTTTAAACAGGAGAGTTGAGCTGTTTAAAAGCTCTCTTTGATGGCTACATATTAGGTAGCAGATACCAGAGGACAAACGGAACTGTGTACAGGTCTTTCTAAGAAAAAAAATGAGAAGAGAACATTTGTTTTGTTTGTAATTAACCTCTGGACATTTTCAAATATAATTGTAATCAGTTTTCAGCTGGGCTGTTTTTACCTTTCCCTGTTGAAGCCACTCCTCTCTGGTCACTGAACTCTGTAAACAGCCACATTCCTCTGCTGAAGGTAGAATCTGAAAAGTTTGGTACAATATTAAAACTACCTGAAGCTTGTATTTCGTGTATTTCTGTTGTAATTTTAGTGCTTCTATGTAATCTCTGAACTTTAATTTTAATAATTTTGGTTGTACCTGTAGAGATCTGGCATCTGATGTTTTTCACTCAGTTCATTGTATCCTTGACTACACACCTGATGTTATTGAAATACAAATTCAATAAGAAAATTACTTTTTTTTTTTTTTAAGAAACTCATATAATCAATATATACGTTTGATAAAAAGACAGTAAATGCACATTTCAGTTTGTGTTTTACATGACGATCTGAAAATAAACTAGTCTCCCAAGTTCTAAAATGTATATTTCATTTAATAATTAAAACTGATGATTCACTTGTCTATAGGCAACCTCTTCAGTACGGTTAACATTTCTCTGAATGACTGTAGAGGTCTAATCTGTACGGAGTTGCATGTTATCTCCATAGAATCTGCAGGTACCGTGACCTCCTTCCACACTCCACAAACATTACTGTTAGGGTTAACTAGTCTTTCTAAATTGTCCCAAAGAGCAAGAGTCCATTTATGTTTGGCTGTTTTGTGTTACCCTCTGATGAACTGGTAACGTGTGTCACCAAATAACCACTGGATATATGCACCAGCTCCTTTAAATCCTTGCAAGGATATTACACAGGTGCTGGTCATAAAATTAGAATATCATGAAAAAGTTGATTGATTTCAGTAATTCCATTTAAAAAGTGAAACTTGTATATTATATTCATACATTACATACAAACTCATATATTTCAGATGTTTATTTTGTTTAATTTTGATGATTACAAATGACAACAAATGAAAATCTCAAATTCATCATATCAGAAAATTAGAATATTGTGAAAAGGTTCAAAATTGATGGCCCCTGGTGCCACACTCTAATCAGCTAATTAACTCAAACCACCTGCAAAAGCCTTTAAATGGTCTTTCAGTCTAGTTCTATAGGCTACACAATCATGGGGAAGACTGCTGACTTGACAGTTGTCCAAAAGACGACCATCGACACCTTGCACAAGGAGGGCAAGACACAAAAGGTCATCGCTAAAGAGGCTGGCTGTTCACAGAGCTCAGTGTCCAAGCACATTAATAGAGAGGCGAAGGGAAGGAAAAGATGTGGTCGAAAAAAGTGTACAAGCAAGAGAGATAACCGCACCCTGGAGAGGATTGTGAAACAAAACCCATTCAAAAATGTGGGGGAGATTCACAAAGAGTGGACTGCAGCTGGAGTGAGTGCTTCAAGAACCACCACACACAGACGTATGAAAGACATGGGTTTCTGCTGTCGCATTCCTTGTGTCAAGCCACTCTTGAACCACAGACAGCGTCAGAAGCGTCTTGCCTGGGCTAAAGAGAAACAGGACTGGACTGCTGGTGAGTGGTCCAAAGTCATGTTCTCTGATGAAAGTAAATTTTGCATTTCCTTTGGAAATCAAGGTCCCAGAGTCTGGAGGAAAAGAAGAGAGGCACTTCATCCACGTTGCTTGAAGTCCAGTGTAAAGTTTCCACAGTCAGTGAGGGTTTGGGGTGCCATGTCATCTGCTGGTGTTGGTCCATTGTGTTTTCTGAGGTCCAGGGTCAACGCAGCCACATACCAGGAAGTTTTAGAGCACTTCATGCTTCCTGCAGCTCACCAACTTTTTGGAGATGCAGATTTCATTTTCCAACAGGACTTGGCACCTGCACACAGTGCCAAAGCTACCAGTACCTGGTTGAAGGACCATGGTATCCCTGTTCTTAATTGGCCAGCAAACTCTCCTGACCTTAACCCCATAGAAAATCTATGGGGTATTGTGAAGAAGAAGATGCAATACACCAGACCCAACAATTCAGAAGAGCTAAAAGCCACTATTAGAGCAACCTGGGCTATCATAACACCTGAGCAGTGCCACAGACTGATCGACTCCATGCCACGCCGCATTGCTGCAGTAATACAGGCCAAAGGAGGCCCAACTAAATACTGAGTGCTGTACATGCTCATACTTTTCCTGTTCATACTTTTCAGTTGGCCAACATTTCTATAAATCCTTTGTTTTTATTGGTCTTCAGTAATATTCTAATTTTCTGATATGATGAATTTGAGATTTTCATTTGTCATTTGTAATCATCAAAATTAAACAAAATAAACATCTGAAATATATGAGTTTGTATGTAATGTATGAATATAATATACAAGTTTCACTTTTTAAATGGAATTACTGAAATCAATCAACTTTTTCATGATATTCTAATTTTATGACCAGCACCTGTAGATGGTGGATGAAAGCAGTTTTTATTCCAGCTGTGAACGTATAACTTAATTTTGTTATAGTACTAACAAAAAAGCACAGTGCTCTGGTATTATAACTGCTCCCATTTATGTAGCAGATTTGGCCTCTTTAAAAGAACATGCCTCTACTTAAAGATGAGCCTTTTTTTGTCATTAAGGGCGGGATACGACCAACAGCTCTTGGGTTTGACCCCTGCGCTTTAAAGCATAAAAGTAAATCTGCCTAGAAAATAAAACCTTATGCTGTTTGGTTTTCAAAACATGACACTTAAATTAGCTATGAATTTCTACTTTGGTCTCATCAGTACAGTGCACATTATTTCAGAAGCCTAGCAGCTAATTCTAATGCAGGTTTCATGACTCAGACTACTTTTTTTGTTAAAGGCGTGCCTACCCAACAAGCAATGCATTATTTTCCATATTTTGTTTTAAGCCACTAGAATAAGTGTCATGTGGCTTTTACCTTTATAGGTTTTTATCCCTGAGCTTTCTTACTTTGTTTGAAACTGTTGGGGTCTGTTCTTGTTTTCTACCATCATACGTCTCTGTAGAACAATGTAGTTAAAATGCTCTGAATAGAAAGTTCAAAACCTCAATGTGCCAAGGAGTTTAAATACATTGGATTAACAGCATAGTATGGCTACTTTCTCATATCTCGCCCTTGGTTTTGCACATGTAGCTTTATGGTTTGACTTCAATATCACTGGGGAGTTTTTGTACAAATAAAGTTGAGACTTCACAAACAAGAAAATACATTTTCTATAAATTCCATTTTTATATGATGTTTGAGCAAAAAAGTAAAACTCACCTCATGTTTTCTTCAATCCCATCACCAGAGACGGTTCAAGATCATTACTACATTAACCAGAAAAGGTTTTCAATCAATTAACTGTCAGAAACCCTTATAAGGTAAGGTACTACGATGTCTTCAATCTGCTGGGGCATGTCCGTAGAAGATATCCATACATTTTAATAATTCAGTTTGAAAAGTAACATTTATTAAACACAGTGATATACTCAAAAATTTTAAACTAGATTTCAGTGATTATAGTTAACAGTTAAAGGTATAGTGGAGGATGTCCTTTTTCCGGGTGGATCATCAAAATAAGTGGTCCTTACTGTCAATCATTCTGGTGATATGTTTACGTAAGGCCGTCCTAAGTGCTTATCCCCATTTTCACTTACTGGTGGTGAGTCTGATATAGTGGAAAAATTGCAAATCTTTTGGAAAGTAAACGAACATGAGTGATGAAAACAGCAGCTTTTAAACAGAGCGTGCACGAGGAGAAATGGGCTCGTGCATGCGCTCACACGTTTAATAATCGATCCCTCTTGGGAGCAGGTACAGGTTCATGCATGTGCATTTATTTTTATTTATTTTTTTTAGTGGAGAGGACAGTTTGCAATTTGCAAAAATCCTCCACAATACCTTTAAGGAAAATTCTTTAAACCAAAGCACATTTCCTTCCACTTCTTAGCCTCAGTAAATTTCTTCTGATGTCTCTGGTGCAGGAGATTTTCCATACAATAAATGGTACAGTTCTGGTCCATTTCTTCGAAAGGTACTTGTAGGGTTGCAACAAAACCATTCACAAAACATTAAATGGGTTTCACTTCCCAGTCATCTCTATCACACATTTTCCTTTTAAATCAACTTTCCAGTATAACAGGTGTATTGTAAACAGACAGCTGATGCAGCTTACCCTCTTCATGGATGCTTTTGAGTCCGTAACCTTCGCTCTGAATGCATGGACCAAGGCCTATTCTTGCTATCCTTCTAATAAATGAATAAATGAAACTTGGAGAGAAAACCTTGCAAAAAATTGATCTTCAAAAAAGTAATATTCCAGTTTTCTTTGTAAATGTTATTTTATCAAAAGATTTATAAAAATAAAAAAAAAGCTTAAAATATGTCATTGTGTGTGCAATTATATTTAAATTGCTTGTTTTACGTTACAGGCTGAAAAACACACAAATTTAATTTAATTAAAGTGTTTCCTGCTCTTAGGAAATTGCTAAAACACCTTAACTTCTTCAGTGGATTTAGTGTAAAATTTACACTGGTTCAGAAACATGTAACGGTTGGAGCCCATTCCTGACAATATCAGACATTGTTGAAGTCTGACCTTAACACCATCCCCTGATGAAAAGTCTGTTCATGGAAACGTTTCACACACATTCAGATCAGTAAGCAGCTCAAATAATTGTCATGTTAAGAACTAGTATTATGATCTATGTATAAAGACTTTTTTTTACCCAGTGGAACAGGATGCTAGATTATGCTCTGTGTTTTCAAAGGAAAGAAATGCACAACAATGACAACAAGCAAGTACTGATCTTAGTTTTTATTATCCAGGTAACTTCTAATCAGGTTGAATTTCCCTTGTCTATAAGGCATTTTGTTATATATATATATTCATATTTTATATATATATATATATTCATATTTTATATATATATATATATATATATATATATATTTATACACACACACACACATACATCACCATATACAATATGTGACTTATGTGAAAGGCTACATACATTATTTGGTCATTTTAAGTAAATAATGATAATGAATTTGACACTAATGAGTAACCTTTCATATTCTCAAACAAAGTCCTTTTGCTTATGTGATGCTTAAACATAAAACACCGTGCAGCAGAACTGATACTGATAGGGTGATAAATAATAAAAATGTCCCTGTGCCTAACATTTTATTCACCCCATGCTTCACAAATTTAAAACTGGGAGTCTGGTATTGCATCAAAGTAGAAATCTCCATTAGATTGTTGCAACACTCTGGATGTGTCTCATGCAAAATGAACAGCTTCGTCCGCTACAGTAACACTCACTCGTTATAAAGCAAATCTATGAGAACGCGATGTAGAGTGTAATTATGGACCAGGCTTGAAACATTACTACTTAAATTAGAAGTACACCTACCAACATTTTTTAAAGGGCAAGTATCACCATTACAATATAGAGCCATAAAAGGTTCTATGGCTATAATGGATGTCATGGGCAGGGAGTGA